TGAAAACTGGTTTGTGATCATTAGCACCTGGTGGTGCCAGCCACCATGCAGCAGTGCCACCAAAGTGTCCTACATATATTATCATTTATATTCATTCATTTAGCCCTCATAGATCCAAAAGGTCAAACTATCACTGCCAGTAACCCAATAATAAAGAGAAGCTCAGAGAAGCAAATTACCCAAGGTGAACATCTAGCATATGAGAGACTTGAACCCAAACTGGGGCTCCAGAGTCTGAGCTCCTGACCTCCAAACTGTTGACTTTCACATAATAACCTTATTTCCTAATTAACTTGCATTCTTTCATGCTCTAGGGAATTTAACTGAGGATGATTTCTGGCCATAGTGAAATCCTCATGGGTGATGATTTGAACTGTTTCTATGATTTCATTTAACCTCAAAATAAAGAATTTGGAAATGTAAAGGAACTGAGGCTACATTTACCTCCTATAAATGAGGACTGAGAGGCCGATTCAGGACTGACTTTGAAAGGAGAGGAAGAAAATTACTGACAGGAGATGTTTTCTCTTGCTTTATCTAGTCTTAGTTCCTATTTGCCAACCCCACTATGCCCTGGGCCATCAGAGCCCTGAGGAGTCATACGCTAGAAGAGAGATCTTACCTGACCTCTGTGCTTGTGCCTGGTTGCTGGGTGGGAAATATGTAGCCCCCTCGAAGGTGAAGTCCCATCTTATCACCTGGGAGCAGCATATCCACCCATTGTTTCCTCTGTTCCATGGCCACTCCCTAATCAGCAAAAGGAAAGATCAGATAACAAGATGTTTAGGGTCAGATGGACTTTAGAGATTTATTAGTTTGATTGCCTCATTTAAAAAAGGAAAAGAAAGAAAGAAAGAAGGAAAGAAGGAAGAAAGAAAAGAGAAGAAAAGTTAAGAAGAGAAAAGAAAAGAAAAGAGAAAGGAGAGGGGAGGGGAGGGAGGAGAGGGGAGGGGAAGGGAGAAGAGAGGAGAGGAGAGGAGAGGAGAGGAGAGGAGAGGAGAGGGGGGGAGCGGA